AAAAAAAAATTGCACAACTATTTATTATCACGTTTATGGTAATTGAATCCAAGAACTAGAACGATATAAATTTAACATTTTCTATTTTTTTTTAAGCGGTCACCCCATTCCATTCCCGTATAACAGTAATCACACCTTTAAGTTGAATGCCCAAGCTCGTTGGCAGTACTTTTGGCGCTATTGTTAATAATTTGTTTGTATACAGATATTCGATGATATACTATTTACATACATACATACATATGTAATTGCAGACCCGTTTAGTACGAGTAACTAAGCGCTGTTTATATTGGAAACTTTTGCGTTGCTGCCGTCGTTTCTGCCGCTGCTGGCTTTATTGCTTCCGTTGCTACAACAAGATGCGTTGTTTATTAGTACTTATGCATGTGTGTATGCATATATAACGAATGTATGTCTGTGTATGTTGATATGCTTGAATGAATATTTTAGTCACCGCTTCAACTTGTTGGAATCATATGACGTCATCAGTTGGGCAAAAGAAACAAGTCGACTGTCGTCGCGACGATAACAAAGTGTCCCGAAACACTTTGAGAGCTGAAAGCGAAATTTCAGTTTCAGTTTTGTGTATAACGTACGCGTATAAAGACGTATTAAATTAAATAACGCTCTTCCAACAATCGTCTCAAGTGAAGACTTTATAAAGAAAAGTATCGAACCAAATTGTACTTAATAAACGGATATAAGATGTAAGCGGAAATTGAAACCTTTTTTTTTTAATTCTTAACGGTTTTTTGTTAATTTTTTTTTAGCTAATTGTTAATGTGTTACAATATGTATACTCTATATTTACAAAATTTGTAAGAAAAAAGTTTAGTGAAATTCAAAAGGATTTTTATCTTGAATTATGCGTTTTTGTTAATAAAAAAAATTTAATAAACATAATTTGCTTTAATGCTGCATAAAGTTAAAATACATTCATATCTACATATGTGTATACGAGCACATTCATATATGTATGTAATACAAGCTAGCAGATGTTCATATTTATGTACATAGACCAAATTTCGCATAGTAAATATTTTCATGACGAACCACACCCGCTCGTGTTGAGATATTTCAGCATTTTAATTTTGAAAAGCTTCAAAAATAACATCCTCACTTAAGGGTGAAAAGGTGCCAAGTCCATTTTTTTGAAATTGTTCTGGATAACAAAAAACAAGAAATGGACTTGCCTCCTTTTCACCTTTAGGTAGCGATATGTACATATGTACGTACATATTTATGAGCATTTCAAACCGATTGAAAACTGCCATGAAGTTCCCTCAGCTTTTATTATTTTTCCGCCAACTGTTTCGCATCACTTTGCTGTTACTGCTACGCCCCATTGTCCTCGCCACTTTGTCATTTTTTCTCCTTGCCGCCTTGGTCCACAGCTGCCTTCTAGATGTAGGAGTGTTGTTTTTATTTGCCAATATTACCAAAGTAATACGGATTGAGTGAGTGCGCAAAACGATTGAGTAAATATAGCTGCCGAACTAATAGATGCCCGGTTGGCCAACAGGCTAGACATGTTTGAGATGTGTACGCATTTACGTACATATCGACAGTCGTATATATATTGTAATAAGTGTGTGTATATTAAATCGTAAATAAGTATATAGGTACGTATATAAAAGTTTTAATTTCCATTACATATATGTACATACATATATATATGTATGTATATACATATGTACATATCAGAACGATGGCATATGGCGGGACGCGCCTATGGTGACTCCATACTAGAATACTCGTCTATACAAAATGAACTTTGGGGTGGTTTTTATTTACAAAACAGAAAAAAAATAATTGCAATAAGAGCTTTATAAACTTATGTACATGCTTACATATAAGTATATATACATACATATTTGAATGTATGGGTATATCTCAAGATTTATTCAACAAGCTAGAAGTGGTTGAATATGCCTTTGTGTATCTTGCGTGAATGTAGTGAGAATATTTTGGAAATACTTGTTTGTGATCTTCAAAATTCTATTTTCATTTACGTGTGTGGTACTTTGAAGAAACAAGTTAACTCGACTTAAGATTTTTGTTATAAACGACCAAAATAATGAGCTTCTCACAAACTTTTGAACAGGGACTGCAAATAACCGTTAAATATGAAGATTTTTATTGTTTGATCATTGCAAAATCGTTATTTTAAATTTAAATTTTTTTCGATCACAAAAAATCGTTGTTTTAACCGTTGCAATGGCGACTGCGTTGCTATGTCTGATTTGAGGCTGTTGTGATGTAAACCTGAAAATAACGCTTATAATAGTTAGAAAAATTTAGAATAAAAAAATAACAATCGATAATTAATAGAAAAAAATAAGAATCCCAAACTAACGATTATGGAAACCATCAAATAACGCTTAAATTTGATCGGGAAAAAAGCAATCCAATTTTAAGGGTTAAATTATGATTTTTATTATAAACATTATAGCCGTTTCGGCTTTTGCTTTTAAACGATAAACTAATTACAGCTTCAGTCCAGGATGCCGTGTTAATGAATTTTAATTAAGTTGTATAAAATCGTTAAAATTTTGTCTATACGAAAAATAAAAACTTTCAAAATGAATTAAGTTGTTTTGTTAAAAGTCCAGAGGTTTGAAAATACGTACTATTTAGATGTTTGTTTTGGTTTTTTTCCCTAAATTTTCTTTATTTTTTATTTTCTAAGAATTGCATGTGTGTGCGTATACATGTGTAGATAAAATAACGCATTTATGTATTTATTTCGAAACGTAAGAATACGGCGGTGTGTTCATTAGGGTGGTCCAAAAAGAGTAAAGTCGGAATTTTAATGCTCTCACCCCCTAGGATTGTTCAATATCGAAAAAAATATACCCCTTTTTTAATTTGAATTCAAAAAATATTTAGAGGTCGCTCAAAGCGCTCAAAGTTTTCCATGTATTCTTTATGAGGACCATTATATATACATATATACCATTTCTACGAAAAGTTGATTTTTTTTCCATATAAAATACATGGAAAACTTTGAGCCTCTAAATATTTTTTGATTTCAAAATAAAACAAGATTATCGTCAATTTAATGATCGGATTAAAACCAAATTAATATGGAACTATCTGTGAGGTAACACCTTTCCTTTAAAAAAAGAATTATGGAAATCGGTTAACGTGGTCCAAAGTTATGCGGTAACAGACATAACTAAGTCGGTTAAAAATACGGGTATATTTTTTCGGTATAGAACAATCCTAGGGGGTGAGAGCATAATAATTCCGACTTTACTTTTCTCATGCATTTTTGGACCACCCCAATGTCCATACATACTTGCATACATATGTACGTATTTAGGTACATACATACATATGCACGTATATAAGAACTTACTTGTTAAGATGATCTCATTCCGTCGTTCAGATGTTTGCATTTGTATTTTTTTTTTCTGTGATATATTTTACTCGAAAATTTGAATTTTAGCTTGTTTTTGCTAAAAAAAATGCCATACTAGTTTTATCACAGTTTTTCTGCTCGAATTTTCAGTTTTTTGATAAAATTTTTTTTTATTATTTCTCCCACGAAAACTCTGCAACTCTCTTAGTCGTCAAGAGAAGGAATTTTTGTTGTTATCTTTATAGCAGCAGGATTCAATCACGCAGAGAGTCTCAGCAGTTGTTCCTGTCTTCATCATCTGACTCGGCATTCCTTAGGCCAAGGAACGGTGTTGCGTCGATGGTTGCTGTCCTTAAGTATTTCGGTGTTATGGTCGTCGAATTGGATGGGTATGCGAAGAGGTGTTTAGTGGTGTTTTCCATCCCGGCGTTAAGGCGCACTTGTAGCTTGGTAGGTTCAGGCGGCTACTCCAGCCCGATTTCAGTTGAGCCAGGGTGCATCGTGTTACTCGCAGTAAATCTACCGCCACTATATTAATTGGCGGGGACGGCCGCCGAGTACGATGGGACGATTGTCTGAACTATGAATATCCTTTGGGAATGAAAGGAAGATTTTACGGAGAGTTGGAATCGTGCTTCCTTAAATGAACTGATGATGAGCTCCCATCCTATCTTCAATCGGCGGTCGGTTTTCTTCAATTCCTCGAAGACTGCAAACAAATGAATGGTACAGTTGCGACTTGGCCGTTTTTTTTCAAAAATTTTAAAACAAAAAAAAATCAATATACATATATAAGGGCCAAATGTAGTGCAATTGCGTTTTTAGTTTTCCATTCTCACATCAGGATTTTTTTTTTAATTATTTGGAAATTTCAAGGATATGATTAATTAAAACAATTACGCTGTGGGAAAATCTCAAGTTTAGAAATGACACGAAAAAAAATCGCCGAAATCCGTAAACTATATTCTGTGTCGTAGATTAGGAATCTGTATTCTGTTTTTCTAGGTCAGGTCACTTTCTCAAGATATTTGAATTTTTATGAAAAAAATTAAAATTTTAACAGAGAAAATGATCAGATTTTTGGAAATTGTTTTTATTTGTATTTAGGAATATGCTTTTTCAAAGAAATCAAGCTACCAACAAAGAAAATTGATGGATAAATAAAAAGTTGTGAATGGTCAAATGAAAATCTGTAAAGAATATTAATCATACGCCGTGTAGGAGTATCTTAAATCGAAATTTTTTCCCTGTTAGGGGGCTGTCTGCAGATCTAAAAAAAAAAAAAAAAATTCATATAACATGACGCACAAGAAATGGAAAATTTATTTTTTCGATCTAAATTTTTAAATCATGCTTTTTTTTTAATTATTTCTTCAAGAAAATTTACAGCAATAGCAAAGTATTTTTTCAAGGAACCGAAATAATGAAAAATATTTCTTGTGTGGTTCCTTAAGAACTGCAGATAGCCCTTAAACTTTAATGTTTTTTTATTCACAATGCAAACTTAAAATGGAAATATCTTAGGAAAATTACTTTATTTGGAAAAGCGGTATACAGATCCGTATTCTAAGAACCAAAATTAAGTTTACGTGTCTCGGCTATTTTTGTGATATTTTCGCGATCCTACAGTGTTACTTAAAAACTTCAGTGCAATGTATGTAGAATGAAATTATGAGCATCAAATAAAAGAGAAAATCTCTGGAATTGAAAAAATAATAATTTTGTTTGTTGCACAAGGACGAATAGGTATTGAAAATGCCCTTTAAATTTTTTTTTTTACCCTTACATATTTGTCCTTTACATAATTTTTTTTCTTATTTGTAAGTCTTGTTTGATATTCAAGCGCGTTTAGAAATGTGTAAACAATTTTTTCAATACCTATTCGTCCTTGTGCACAAAAAAAATTCAATTCTACAGAAGATAATTCGTTTAACTGAAAAATCACAATTTCAAAAGTTCGTTAGCATGCATTTCATGGAAGAAAATCTGTTACTTTTATAGCTCTCTTTTGTTTGTATTTTGGAATGAATTTCCGTCACTTTTCTTATCAACTTTAACTATTTACAAAACAATCACAATTTATACTAAGTATGGAAGCAAATGCAGGGTTGATGAGAGCTTTTTGTCCTCTAGATTGAAAACAATTATATTTATTTATACTATGGGTATTCATCTAAACGCGTAAATGCCTCGCGACGGTGTAAACTTCGCAAAGAAAACAAGCGTTCCATAAAAATTAGGCAAGTTTACGTGGTTGCGAGGCATTACCGCATTGAGCTGAATTGCCCTACTACTACTATTTTTATTTTCAGTTAATTTTTATTGAAACTGAATTATGCATGA